CTACAAATACACCTATAGACAGACAATTTGACGTGCTGATTCTTGTTTATAGGTCCTTCCCGTCCGCGCTCTGCTACTGTAATTACATTTAGCACATCCTCGGTCGCATGTCGTCGTTCTACTTAATGCTCATAAAACGATTTTTATATTATTACAAAAATATATATACGAGTATGTGTATAAATAGATGTTCATATAAATGCATACATACTCATTCACGTATTCCTAGTGGCACGAGTATATCGTATTTTGTTTATACCCCTACTTGGATTTCTGATTCATTTGCTAAAATTGGTGTTGTCCTTCACTTTGATGTTTGATCTGGTAAGAGTTTACAGTTATTTAACACCTAATGGTACACATTGTGACGTGGTATGTAGTTTTATTTATTGATGTCAGCAGAATCCACTGAACAGTCTTTCCCTAATAATGGGTTCATAATATTATTCTACTACCAAAGAGTTCAAGAGTCAACTGAATATTATAACATAAAGGACTTTAAATTACTACCAATATCGCCTCAACTCAAAATCACTGACCTGCCATTAAAGAAACCATTTAGTATTAATAGATAAGATCTAGAGAGTTCATAAACCCTAAAAGCCAGGTTATCCATTATTTATCAGCTTTGATTTAATTAGAATATTTAGGTTATTTATTTCGCTTTACTTAGATTACCATTTATTAATTCTATCTATATTCAACTTCTCGCTTCGAAACGTTCCTTACATATCATTACTTGTGAAACAACCACACCTAACCTAAAAAAATGTAAAGTCTACGAATACCGATTCTTATGAAAATTTGTCATTCCAGTAAACATTTGTTTGACGTCTGCTTTAAACTTTATTAAAGCTTGTGGTAATAATCTAGTGGTCCACCACCAGATTCACCAGCCAACAGTGATTTAACCTTAATAGTCAACGCCTTGTCCCCTACCTCTGCCCATTTTGCGAAAATCATCTTCTTCCTTTGCATATGTCCTCATTTTGTTTCGTCTTCCACCTTCGTCATTAGCTTAAACGCCCGTACAGTGTTGCAATCGTGCATTTACTACTTTTATCGTGTGAATTGCAGGTTTTTCCGCTTGCGCGCGGTGCTTTAACGTCTCGTGGCTCATAAAAATATAAAAAGTCGATTTGCAGTTATTTCAGCCAGGCTATACGCCTAAAAGTATGTCACATATTTTTATATGTTTTATATGTTATTGCCATTGTTACATTGGTTTTCTTTATGGTTTGGCGTTAATTTTTTTGTTTGATAACTTTCCATATGATTTTGCTGTGCCACTTTCAAATATTACTGACAAGCTGCTGAACTTTGCAAAATGATACCGATAAGTTATGACTTATTGCAAAAGCGCCTTAAAATATGTTAGTGTACATTTGGCAATGTATTGGTTGGAGGAAACAATGCCGTGAAGTTTTATTGTGAACAAAAATTGTTTTCAACTAAGGAAACCAAATAAAACAATAAGTGAAGAGATTAATTTGATTAAGTCTCATTTTTATGTGTTGAAGTATTTTAGATCAGGACATATTTACTTGTAGGTATTTCTATCAGGCTAATCGCCTAAATGAAGGCAACAAGTTTTAATATATAAATATGTTGTTTTAATTTATGGTTATATATGCCGATTTATTGCCTATCATCTTTTCAATAAATCATCATTAGTGCATAGATATCGCATTAAACTAATCTTTTGAGAGTGGCGAAACGTACAAACCAAAGTAAATAATATATATAAAGAGTTTTTTTATCAACATCCACATGTACTAATTTGAGAATTTTATGGTTAATATGGTAAAAGTTTCCTGTACTCGTTCGTCAGTTATTTTACCTGATAATACGCTGTATATGTATAGATCACCCGGTAGGAAAGAGAAAACAATAAAAAGTCTTAAGTGATAATCGGCCGAATTGCTTACTAAGTTTTAAGAAACTTTTATTACTACTCTCTGACTAAATTTTGTACACAGATTCATAAAACGACGAATAGATAGGAAAATGTAGCGAATAAGTCCGTGCAATTGGTTAGAGCATTCTAAGCTTATGGCTAGAAAAAACTACTATAGATTTATTTTTCTACTTTCTTAGTATAATTTAAAGCCGTTCCATACTGCTCTGAATAAAGCGAAGTAAATTTGTCAGACCAAATCGCATTTTCTGCAAGGAAATTCATTTATATATACAAGTTTATCTACATAATATAGTATACATACACACACAGTAATATATTTCCCACACCACTTCAGTCCTCTTCAACTAATCCGACCATTTAATCACCATTTGAATATATATTTTCTATTTAATGGACATGCTTATCTACAACCAATAGCTGTACAAAATTTATTATAGATAATAAAGTAATAATAAGATCAATATTCAAACATATATAAAATCTTACAACAACAACTACAATAATATTTCAGTACTTGTAAGCGAAAAGCATTGACAGCTATCTGTCTATCAGAATTTACGGTAATCTATAGATGTCGAAATTATAGCATCACTTACTATAAATAAATTATGGGCGTATATTGCTGACGTCTTAATGGGTGGAAGAGAATTACGAGAGGTTAGGTTAAGCCGGCGAAGATGAAAATTATTTTTATGATTCGATTATTAAATATAAACCAAAAGATACATTAGTAAGGGTCAACTTTCCGTACGGGTTTCAACATCTATCACAGTCCAGACTGTATCTTGGCGCCTTCAATTTCATTCCAAGATGCTTATCTCCGCGTCAACAACTAACTTAAAAAAAGCCTAAGTCGATTTGGAATAATAAAGACATTTGAAGTCTACTCAAACAAATTATTCGAAATTCGACGTTGTGTTTTATCCAAAACAATATCTTAAAAACGAAAATTTTAAACTTCGATGTAATTGTATACTTGTATACTTTTGGCTAAGTTGACTTTACCCATTTTTACATTTTAGATATTGTTAGAGTTATTAAAACACTATAATTTCTTCATATGGCCCATATATTGTGAAATTTATGGTTGCACTGATTTTAATCCAAAGCATACATATCTGCATATTATTGTGAGCAATTGATTATTGCAAATGAGTGAAAAAAATCACATTTCATCGCAAATTGTTCGTATAAGTCTAATTTATTGTCAAATGTCTAATATTTTATCTCACAACACAAATAACATATGACGTTTGTACCTCGCAGCTGTTGAAACGGTCAAAATATAATATATACAATATTCAAAACTCAAATATACGTTATATACCAAAGTGTATTGCTTCACATATCTATTCTATGATTTTTAAAATATAATATATTTTATAGAAATTTTTACTAATTCTCTAACAATGGTACCATAATCTCATTTATACCTACTGATACCTCTGAATATGATAAGTCTATTCTGGCCATCATACGATACAAAAATATTTTGTTTCAATATAAATTTCTGAGTTGTGATCCCTGTGCGCCACACCTTAATCATCTCCAATTTGGACAAATGCTTATATGTGGTATCTTCGGCTAAAAATGGTATCGTTTAAGAACGTGAGATTAACAGATTTCGTTTCTTTCAATTTTTTAAGAACAAACCTAATGCATTGTATTGATCTAATCCATATACATAATCTATTTAGATATTTGAACGAGTATGCCAACTACTTCACACCGTTGACGCACAATAGCGCCATCCAATAAAAGAGTAGAACATTTAACGATCTCCATATGGACGATTATAATTAAGCAAGGCGTACAAACATAAAAATATTTATATAAATTTGTTATATGTGGAAGAATTATATTTTTCAAACAATCAAACAAATAATTGATCAGAAATGGTTGGATACACGTACATATTTCACACACATACTGCTAATTTATGGAATTCAACTAATAATATGCTGAAAAGCCACCAATCCGAAAATAATGCTAAGCAGCAACTACAAACATATGTATATATTAGAAGTATACACATATTTATTTAGCTAAGAAATGAAAAATGTTTTCTCAGTAGTTGCGATGTAGCTTCCTCTGTACTCTATACTTATATGTTAATAAGATAATGAGAAATAAATTAAAAAAAAAAATTTTTGGGGCTAAAACAAGTGAGAAGCGTGAGTACAATGCCTGTGCGATAATTTTTTTGTAATAGACCAAAAATTCAGTCAGAATTAGGAGAATATGCGGTTAATTATTGTGGTGAAAATTATACAAATTGGCTGTATTCATTTAGACACCTCGAAGTGGTAAACCGGTATTACTTATTGACCCTTAAACCATTTGGAACTAATGTATAGTGATCTACATAGTCATATTCGAAGAACACGATGAGCATCGTCGTGATTTTGAACCTTCACCTTTATAATTATTATATTATATTATTATTTGTCTCAATTAATTTTTGAGTACGGTATTTTCTAGTTGGTTCATAAATGAAAGAATTTTTTTTAATTTGGAATGAAAATATATTTTTTCCAATTTTTTTTTTTTTTAATTTTTAAACCATTATTTATACAAAACTTATATTCACAAGCTTGTACCATATGAACACGTTTGCGAATTTTTTACAAAATAACTTATTTGACATTCTTAGACTAAATACATTTAGTTTAGTATTTCACAGACAAGTAAGTATTTGTATTAGGTTCTCAAAGAGATTCTTACTTTAACAACAGATTTGAAATGTTAAGTGTTTGAAAATTGCACAGAATAATATCATTACGAGACTTTTGAACAAACTCAAATTTAAAATAAGTGGTTTTCTCAAATTTCCGCAGTTGTTTTTGTATGGTTTGTGCCTTCATAGCCAGGCTAACTGCTATTAACGACAACTTAAATAAATAGTAAAATTCTATATTGTTATTTTTATACATATCCACTCACTTAAATACTCATTAATCTTCGTTTTATTTGTATATGCATTCATTTGTTTTTATTTTTTTGCGAAAATTATTCGCACTATAAATATTTCTGCTTTTTTCGCTTTTATTTTCATTACTAATCTTTTGCTTGTTTGCAGATTATTGGACTAATCATTGTGATCATCTCGGTGTGGATGCTTACCGATCCCTCGTTCGTGCTGTCGATGACCCAATCCTATAATCACTACTACATTGCGTTGTATGTCTTCCTTGGCATTGGTGTGCTCATCACGCTGGGCGGCTTCTTCGGCTGTTGTGGTGTCGTAAAGGAATCGCAATGTCTGCTTATATCGGTGAGTGACAATAAATAAATATATGTATATGTATGAGTATACGTGGCGGTGTTATTAAAAAATGTTACACTCTAATTTTAATATAATATGCCATGCGACAACCTACAAAAGTTTGCGCTTTGATTTTCGTTTAAATCAAACGCCAACGCAACGCGGCAACTGCTTAGTCCAGTCGATGGCTGGCGCACGCACTTAGCCACCCACTGCGTATGTTACTGTGAGTGCACAGCGCCTTGGTGTCATAAGTTTATATGCTCACCGATGTAAATGCATATACATATGTATGGTATATGCACACATACAAGTGAGGTCTGATAAGTACTTAGCCTCTTCACACGATAGGGCGCTATGGTTAGAACAATTTAATATAGTACTTGTATAGTACATTCTCTTAAACGGCTATTGTCAAAATCTGACTTGTAGAAATCGTAGTTTTGTTTTGACAGCATATGGAAGCGGTTCTCGGATCTTACAAATATATAAAAAAAAAGCAAAACGGTCAGTGGTTTACTTATTGTTTTAGGAAAGGGCAACGTGAAGTGAAATCAAAGATTAAATGCTGTATGCTTCAATGGAGCCTGACGCTGTTTAAACACAATCCAAAGAAATTTCGTGATCGACGGTGAAAGATCCATTCACTAGTACACACTACAGACCAAAACAGAGTTGTAACATTGGCCTTCACCAGGTGAACCTGCTTCGTTGAAAGTGAAGAGTGTCCTATCGGTCAAATAGGTGACGGCCAATATTTCCAAGGATCTATATTTGTAATGAGCAGAATATAACTGCCACGATTGGCTACTTAGTAGACTTTAAATTTATACTTCAAACGAGTTAAAGAGTGGGAGTCATTGGATAAGAAGACTATGCATATTAAAAAAAAATCACTATTTTCCAAAATTTCGGTTTCTCTTTTGTATTCTATGTATTTATAGACCCGCTCTCGTGTGCCCTCTATACGTAGGCGTATTGCACGAATTCTTAGCAGCTGTAAACTTTTGGCGGCATGTAGCACATATTTTTATTAGTACATTGTTGTTGTTGTTGTTGTTTCATTTAATATCTTCTTTTATGATCATGCACATGATTTATGACTTACAATACCTACTTTGTAGTTCTTCTGCGTAATTCTGGTGGTGATGGTGGCACAGATTGCCGCCGGCGCATGGGCATTCCACAACAAAGACAAACTCGATGACATTGTACGCGCGTCGGTGAAGTATTCGGTGCAGGAGGAATATGGCCAATCAAGCATGAGTTCGCGTACGGTCACTTTTGACAATATACAAAAGAATGTAAGTGCATTTAATACATATGCGTGTATGCGTAACTATGTATGTACATATGTAACAAATGTTTGGAATTTGTGTCATGTGTTTATTTACATATTGGCGCCCGCCTTTGTAAACACTATCCATCAAGTTGATACTCAAATTTCTTGAATTAATATGCTTTATTGTTGTTGCTTTCCGCTTCGTTACAGTTGAAATGTTGCGGTGCTGATGGACCGGCCGATTGGGCAACGAGCCGTTTCAACAATGTCGATCGCACAAATATCGTCGATATTGCCATATCATCGATGAATGTGTTTTACAATATACCCGAATCATGTTGCAAAGACGAATTGAAGGAGAATGTGTGTGAGATGTCGAGAAAATTGAAATTCGGTGGTTCGCTAAATCAAGCAATATATCAACAGGTTTGTTATTTATTTATATTTAGTGCAGCAAAATGTGGTGGGAGCAAACAGACCTTCATGTATCTGTAAATATTTTCAAATTTATTGAGTTCGTTGTTTTCTAATTGGAACTATAACACAAGTTCTCATATCCGCATAATCGGTTGTATACGGGTTTCGTGCTTTAGTCATTCGATCTGGACGGATCGCACCAATAATTATGGTAATCGATTATAATAATGCGCCCGTGTTTTCCGAAATTTTACTAAGATATTTCGTAAACTTAAGACTAGTACTAGTAGAAGTAACAAATTTCGAACTAAAACTACAAACTTATTTGATTAACACATTTTCCTAAAAATCAGCCATTCTAACAAAGCGTATTTTCATCTCAAAACAAATCGAACACAGTATTTTAGAAACGCAAAATTTGCATGTGATAGTTGAGAAGCCTAAATTTCTTTTGATGGGGTCAGTTTGTAATGAATTGAAAACACTATTAACACTTTGAAACGGCTGTTCGTACAATGGCGCATGGACTTAGACGACCATTGGATACATTCGATATTTGCAGTCGATATCGGTTGGCCAACCAGCATGATTTTTCTGCACCTTAACGCAACTAATCTGTGCTTGCGGAGTACCGTGAAGAACCGAAGCTTTTCTCAAAGCGATTATAGAGGTGGACTAGGCTGAAAATATGGCGCGTGACTGCAAATCGGTCGAGAGTATCGATCACATCACAAAAATGTGTCTCCATAAATAATGGGAATACTTTTCACTTTTGAATAAACTAAAAAATGTAGATATTAACCACTCTGTGTATAGTTTGAAAACCGCGTTTGACTAAGATTTTTCTACAACCAGAACCATATCCGCTTAAAATACAACCTATAAATTTCTTTTCGTACGTTCATAAGATCTAGATTGGTATAAATAGTGTACTTATTAGGATATTGTACTCTAAGGAAATTTATGTATACAAGCATGGTATTTGCAATTATGTTGCATCACAGATACTAGACGTGATTATAAGTAAAGTAGAAAATGGTATGGGTATGGGAACGACGTAAAAGGATGTCGGCTATTTGATAATCGGTTTCGCCCGAAGACCCCTTTCTACAATATCAAGTAATTTATGAATTTTACTTTCTTTGTTTCAAATTTTGTTTTTATAAAAATTGATACATATGTACATGCACATGTGTTGGTATGCAAAAAAGGAATCTTAAAATTTATTAAAATACATTTTTCTCTTTCAGGGTTGCGTTGACAAACTAATTGAGCTAATTTACGAGAATTGGGTACTGATCTTCGGCATCACAGCGGGTGTGATTCTATTGGAATTGTTGGCGTTGACTTTCTCATTGAGCCTTTGCTGTGCGGTGCGCAATCAACACTACAAAGCCTGAGAATTACTGAATTCCCAGCGGGAAATAAATGACGACGAAAAATATTAACAAACCAAACCGAAAAGAAGGAGGGCAAAGGCGTTCTAATTCGTAACGAAACAAATTAAATATGTGCAAGGCAAACGGAGATAGAAAGAAGTTGAAGAAAATGCGGAATTAAAAAATAAAAAATCATACAAGAATGTAAGCACATAAGTGCGAAGAATATGCGATACGTGCAATGTAGTGCAAAAAAAATGATAATTAGTAAAAACACATACATCCATACATAATTAAATTATTAAAAACAAATATTGATGTATGTACGATTGTCTGCAGCGAATCTCTGGCGAATAAAATTTCATAGAAAATATGCCGGTAAATGATATTTAAGAAGAAAAAGGAATTTTCATTTGTATTTTCCAAACTTTTGTAAAACACAGTAAATTTTTAAGCAAAACTTTGTAGAAAAATGTGAAAACCTTCATCTTCATAAAACAATAATCAAAATGCATATGCCACATACAAACGAAAAAAAACCAAAATAGTTAGTTATAATCGAATGTTGTAAAGAAAAAGAGGAAAAAAGAAATTGCAAAATGCTCATCACACCATTTGCACTACCTTGTATAATTTACGGTATAACTATGAGAATTTACAACTTTTAAGTACATTACGATGCCAAATTTACGTTTTTGCAAGCACTATAGGTAGCGTAATTATACAAATATGTTTGTGCACAAATGATTTACGCCAATTGCACGAAATCTACCAAGTTCGAGGTCTTCCGTTAGAACAGAAATATGTATGAATGTATATTTAAGTTTTTTTGCCAAATGTAAAGAAATATATATTTATTTAACATTAAATAAAAATGTTTTGAGAAACGCTGATTAAAACGCTTAGTACAGTGTGAAATAAAAATGTGGAGCGTTAAATGAGTATTTTTTTCCGTAGAGAAAAACTTCAAAATATATTTTTCTCAAACTCAACCGCAAATGTAGTTAGTTTGTCGAGAGATTATATTTGCATAAAATAAAAAATAAATTAGATGGAAAAAAATTTATGATGAAAATAAAAATTACGCACAATATTCAAGCAATGCTACAATGTAGAACAATAAAACCCTCAGTCTTAGTCGAAATAAAATATACTTGAAACTGTGCAAAACTTTTGTTATAGTTAACCATTAAAAAGTATGTCAAATAAATGTTAACAGTTTTAAACTTTTACTCAAAAATTGTGTATTTTTAGTTATTGTAAAACAAAAAAAATTACAATTTTTTGTAGCACCAAAACCAAATAAAATTGTTTTTTATTTTAAAATTTTAAAACAAAATTAAAAATTTGAAGCTAAATATTGTGCCATTCAAATTATTATTTGTATAAAAGTTATTGTACGTATAACTAAAAGTTAAATTAGCTCTAATCGTATTCGTTATAAATTTAGTTAGTTTTGATTATTTTTGATTTAATATTTCTTTTTATTTTTACTTTTTTATTTTTTTATTGCTCACACTGTACATTATAATCTGTATAATTTTAAATAATTTTTAAACAGCTCATCTATAATTTAAGTCAGTTCAATGTTTTGCGGTATTGACATTCCATACACGAAAGCAATTAGAGATGGGTTGCGAAAGCTAAAAAGCAATTTGTGCATCTGTAAAAGGTTAACATTAAATGTGTCATTTATTTTTAAACAAGGTGCTTATAAGACAATCTAGGCATTTCAAAAAGAACAGTTGTTGTTTTGTGCAAAGCGAGTTTCAAATATTTTATTTAAAAATATTTTTAAAAACCTAAAAATGTATAATGACATGAATAAAGATTATAAATATTAAGAAATATTTTTGAGAGAATAATAATTTAGCGCTAAAAAGTGGCATTCGAATTTTTTTAATTCAAAATGCCAAGCTTTTTAAATAATAATTCAATTAATTATCAAAAACCGAGATTATTAATGAATATCGTAAGAAATAACCCATCTCTATTGCCTGAAATTGAAACACTGGTGATGTAGTTGAGTATTTAAAGCTTTGCCAAACGATGATTGCTGTTATAATATATATATATGTATATGTACTTACATATAAAGAGGCAAATTAGAGAACAACAGCCCAACCTTTAACAAACTCTTGTCACAAACCTGAAGAGAATGTCAAAAACACACAAATTTATATTTTTGTAATTTTATTTCACACAACTTAAGTTTATTATTAAAATTTCATAATTTTTTTGTACAAAAATGTTAACATACTTTTTATGAACTTAAAATGTTTAATTCATTTTATTACACATAATTTATGCATATTTTTTACGAAAGAAATGATTAACCTTACTTAACCGCCTAAGCCAACGTAGTCCGAAATCAACAAGAATTTTTAGTACCGAACACACCTTAATAAAGCAAACAAATTTTTTATAAATATTTTAAGTTTTAGTTTTATTTGTTAGGCCTAATTGTGGATAAAAAACACTTTTAAATGCCTTCGAAATAAATTCGAAAATATTTTGAACCATTTTAAAGTTAACACCCACATAAACAAACAGGCATTCAGACACAAAAATTCATATACACGAACGCACATATTAACTGTTATATTATATGTAAAAAGGCATAAATAATATACTTGTATATGCATTTTTAATTTAGTTTAAATTTTAAAATAAACTATTTTTATTAGTATTGTAACTAAATTAAATTTAAATACAAATAAATTGTAGTTCAAGATGTCCCAAAACACACACAAACACACATAAAACATAATGATTTAAATAAAATGACAAAAACTGTTTGTTGTTATTATTAATTAAAATAAATAAAAATATTTTAATAGAAACTATTACTTATTACTGTATATTCACATGTAGCCACCCACTAGATACTTAATTTGATTGTTGAAAATGTATGACTTTAAATGAAATATACAAAAACAAATAAGCAAATGGTAAGGAGTGTAAGAATTGATAGTAAAATTTTCAACAGGAAGTTAAAAAGCAGAAAATAATAATATAGTAAATATATAAATATTGATTAGTTTATACATACATATATACATAATGAAAGATGCACTCGTTTTGAATGCCCCAAGAATCCGAAATAAAAGTGATTCGCAATAAATAAATTAATTAAGGCGAAAACTGATAAACATTCAAATATAAAGGAAGATATGTGTAGCTAAATTTAGTTATAGAAAAATTGTTAGAAAAAATTTTAAGAAACACTTTGCGGGAAATACATACAATATGCTAATTTTGCATATGTACATATGTATGTGCATAAGGCTGGCGCAAAAATATGCTGGTTCCCACAAAATAATATAAAAAATTAAAATAAAAAAATAGAAAAGTGAGAGAAAAACGGTGCAGTGGTGTTTAAGAAAACCACGTTAACCGGAGAGTTGCTTAAAAAAAATTAAGAAAGAACGCGTCTGATGCAATGACTTTAAAAAATTGTTATTCTTGTTTTCATTCTTGTCATTATAATAATTATTATTAAAAAGGTTTAAAAGATCGACTACACCACTAAGGGTGGACAACTGATGTGAAAGCTTATACAGCTCGTTTTCTTATGCGGTTATTTTTCAATATTTCCTTGAGTTAGAAAGCTTTTCAAAAATGTCAAAACCATTTTTCGCGATATTGCCACATTTTTAAGAAAATATTTACCAGCAAGCCAACTATCGACTAAATCACCGGTTAATTCCAACAGCTCTACCAGAGGTTTCTGTTACAGTTTCTATGAGTTTCTTAAGGTCGAATTGACAACTCTAACCGAAACTCTAGAGTAGATGTGTTCGTTCATCCTTTTCTTACGTAAAAGCCTTGCACGTTGTGTATGGGTAAGTTTCCGCGTTAGTTCTTTCAATGTATTGAAGTTTCGGTAGCCGTGACTTGCTGGGATGTACATAAGTGCTTTAATTAAACTCGATTTGACCGTCCAGACTTAAAGCTTTTTGTGGCTTATGTATTAGCTCTTGTAGCTGTGCTTCAATACCAGACTTTTAGGTGCTTTGGCAATCAGCCCTTTATTCAGCTAACATTCTCTGAAGCTGAATAAGTGCAGATAGCCAAAAAGACTAAACATTACTTGAGGAAGCTTCAACTTGCCAACGATATTTGCCAGGTTTCTGGTGTACAAAGATACATTTTTTTATAAAAAAAATGTGGGAAACGACTTACATTGTATAAACATTATTTAACTCTTATTCTGGTATCATTCTAAACTATTTTTGGGGCGAGTCACTTTTTAAATGTATAAAGGAAACCACTTTTGAGGCCTTTTTAAAGTATATAAGCAAATTTTAGATGTATTAAAGTTACAATGCATTAAACTTAAATTTAAAGTTAAAAATCAATTAGTTCACATTATTTTCAGTTTTCACGATTTTAGTTCTTTTCATAATGGAAAAATGTTCAAAAAAACAAAATGAATACCTTTAAATCTATACTTGACGAGTTTTAGCGCTGACTGTATTCAGTTAACTTATAAAAATGTTTTCACAAATTTCTCCGGTAATTTCACAAAGAGAACAGAATATTAATATATATTTTGGCACTTAAATAACAATAAAATGAATTGCCTTTTCACTAATATTGCAAAGTATAATTTCTCAGAATAAAATAAATAGTCAAGACACGTAACAAGCAGTGTTTTGAAAAGTAGATTTATAGGTTATTATATGTGTATGATAAACGCAATAAATGTCATCTTGAAAGTATGCTCAACTTTGTAGTAGTCACAGAATAAAAATAAAAATATGAAAAATTAATCAAAAATGTTTGAGAGAGAAAACAATACATAAACGATGAAAAAGTAAAATAAGCTCTTTAGAAAAAACATAAAAATAGTTAATATTAATAAAAAAAAAATCCAACTTTATGAAACAGCATTTACAATAATAAAAGATAAACATAAAACCTAATTAAAACAACAAACACTTAAAAACTTTATTAATGGAAAATTGGCTGCCACAATTATACAAATTTATTAAACAGAAACATACGTAAATTAAACATAATTTGTAGTGTAAGTGTTTTACGACACAAAAATCGTGCGAAATATGTTACGGGGTGATTTTCATAAAAAAAATTCACCTAATTGCATCAGCCGAAAACAAAGATTAAATGAAAAAAATTTGGAGTCTAAAATATAACAAATGATTTTCATAAATTGTCTTTGACGCTGAGGATTATGCGAATTCGATTAATGGAGAGTCATGAGAAAAATTGATTACTTTATACAAAAACAAACAAGTCAATAAATAAAATACACTTCGACACTTTTTTACCAGCTACGTAAATAAATAAAGCCTTTTAAACTATACTTCATTAAAAAAATAAAATCAAGGAAAATAATACGAAATTCTCAGAACCATCTTTAATAACATTATAGTAAGAAATTGAGTTATTTGATTTAATTTAAAAGAAATGTGGAAGAAGTAAAATACATTTTTTGGAAAATTTCAGAACGCTTGCTGATGGATTTTATGGATTTTAGTTACATAGATGTTTGAGCAAATTTCAGATTTAAAAACAAGTAAAACCTAATCATTTTGCTAAGTTGGATCTGTATACTTTTTCAGCTATTACATACACTCATGCTAGCTTCTAGGAGCATTGTTAGTACCATGGTTTCATCTCCAGTAACAATGGGATCGGAAATAATTCCCCTGTTGTAGTATCAATGAATAGTTTAATCATCTCTTTTAATATTTTCACGTATATACGAAAGTTCTTCGGTTTCCCTGTAAAAATAGAAATAAAAAATCAGATTTGCAGAGCTGCCATTTAATTAAAGAGCGTTTTTGTATAATGTCAACATATTTCTTTAGATGAGTTTGATTACTTGAGCTTTGCTTTAAGTAAGCTAGTGCTGATACTGGATTAGAATTTTACAACTTTTTATCTGCATTATACAATAAGTTTGAATGTCGGAATAATAACATATTTCCAATGACTCTACTTTGACGTCATTGTCATGAAATTCCTGCGAATTAAGATTATTTATTATTATAGAGTTTTATGTCTAAAAAATTACCGACACATAAAAAGTTGTTGAATCCTTTGTAAGCGATTAATTCCTTTTTACTGTCTGACATTATCGAAACTATAATAACAAGAAAAAGTGGGCCAGTACACATAATAGTGATCCTCCAAAACGTTGACATAAAGGGAACTGGTAGTATTTTTAAATCTCACAATTTATGTCTAACAAGCAGTCACCATAAGATAAATGCCCGTAAATTTGTCGACCGCGGATTGGTAAGGCTATGAAGTTAAATTATTGATTCTGATCCATGATTGCATTTCTTAAAACTTAGAAAGACTAGATCCGTGTTTGCTAGGCTCGCTGTTAGCCCATTTGCATTTTTAATGCTTTGAAGAGCGTGCTTTACTTTCTTTTAAACAGTGTTTTTAGTTAGAGTGATGATTACAAAGAATAAGAAGTTTAGAAAAATTTTGTTTTTGTACTTCGTACAGTGATCAGTTCTATGATTAATAAATAATACATTTTATAATTTACAAAAATCAGATGATGGTAAAGAATATACTTTATCTACAGCATTAAATGAAAAATTAAACAAAAAAACATAACCTACAAGAAAACAAATATGTATAGTAGGAGTTAAAAAATTAAAATGAAATTAAATAAATTTAATATTATACTTAAATTAATTATTGTAATTAAAATACTTGTATTTAATAAACAAATCATTTTTATTACATTTAATTTTCTACTCAAGAAACCACAAATAAATAAAACTGAAAATAAAAAAAAAATCTATAAAACACAAAACCAGTAAATAAATAATAAATAAAGACAATTTAAAGCAACAACTTCTTACTTTAACTACTTTCACAGCAATGTTACAATAATAATCCGCAAAAATCGGAGACTAAATTTGAGATACATAGTATATCTAGTATTGTAATCTCCTATAGTTGAGATATGGTTCTTCAATTGGATTTTTTATTTCAATTGAAAACTAATTTTTGTTTTACATATAAACTAGAATATAAAATATTGAAATATTTACTAGTTTTAAGACCTTCGAAATACATACATACATTCTACTTACATACCGAAAACTAATATTGAAGAGCGAAAAAACATTGAAATCATTAAAATTAATAAATAAAATTACGATAAAAAACCATTTGTCTTTTACTTTTGAAATTGGAAAAATACGACATTTTGGTTCAGTTGAAGAATTTTAGACACTAAAGCGTATCCATTCCACAACAATGGTATTATATAAATGAAAACCAAAATAGTTTTTAGGTATTTGTGGACAAATCTAACTTTAAGCCACTGCGAGTATACGAGTATGTATATTGTCATAAAGGAAACAAATTATCAAATTTTCATAGTATGTAATTGTAAACAATACCTTTTCTTTTTTAGTTCATGACGTCACGAACAATGTATTTTTCTATCAAATGCACTCCAAAAAAGTGACGCTATGCAACTGTCGTATTCTCTATCTCTACAAGTATAATTCTTGATAGGTACATCATCTCCACAGCGAAACTTGCTCTCAACTGATTGATTTGAGTTCGGCACGACGAAATGCTTGGAATAAAGAATTAGTTTAAAGCATAGCGTTAAATTATATTTTTTTAGCTACTTAGAATATTAATATTTTTAATTAACGAGTTTGAAATATTGAGAGAGTGAGGCGGCACAACAATTCTACACACTTTCCTATGTGTACTCATTTTATAAAAAATATACTCGAAAATGCTTTTTTTTAATTTTACTGGAATGTGAACACTTTTATTGACTACTGGTTTCACAAAGAGAAACTTTTGCTCTTTCTTTTGATGATATTCTGAATTTTATAGCGAAATCTGCTGCGCTATCACTTTCGCTTGAGCATTTGATACAGAGAACGTAAATAAACCTGCATCTTCTCGTTTATTTACGTTCTCTAGTTGATCAACTTGTACTCGTTTACTTATTTAACTGTTGTCTTATTTGCCGCAGTCGCTCAGTGACTTTTATCAGGTGTAGATTGTTTGTGTGCAATACGAAATTGATAACAACTTAAAAACCACAACAATGTCTAGCAAAGGTAAGGTATTCATAATATTTAATACTTTTAAAGGCTTTCACATTTGGAAATAAAAAAAAATTATTACAAAGTTATATTTGTTGGGTTAAATAATAAAAATGTGATATCCGTCGAATTTTATCGAAAAGTAAATAAACTAGACGAAAAAACGAAAAAAGGGATAAGCTTAATTGTGCATACTATATACATATGTCTACATACATACATACATGAGAACTTAACTGTGTACTTAAGAATGCAGAGGTTAAATACTTGTTTTTGTATTTCCAGCTTGTTGTCATGGGCCCGGTTATAAGAGCCCCATTGATGCCATGAAGAACGGACCTCGCGAAAAATTACTCTACACTGTTACTGTGCAGCCTAATCTAGATGAAGCCCATGGTGATTACTTATCAACTGTGGATGTGGATCCCGAAAGTCCAACTTACTGCCAGGTTAGTTATAAAAAATGTTGTATATACACGCCATATTTATACATATATGCTAGAAATCAGACTTGAGAGCGTAATGACAATTACAAAGCTAATTCCGAAATCAAAAAACTCTTTCTGAATTCTACGAATTACATCCTATCAGAGATAAAAAGTATTTACAATTCAACAATTATCTATAGAGCACATACGAATTACTTATCGTATATAGTATGTACATATGTATATGAGGGTCTTGCAGAAATTGTCTCTTTTTTCAATTTTTTTTTTTTTTTTTTGTTTTGTTTTGCTTTGATAGGCATTTGACTTTGAATATCTCGTAAACGCTTAACTCAATCGAAAAATTATACAGACCATTTTTTCAGCTTTGCAATTTAAAATGATTTCTTTTCATTGAGTTATAAAATTTAAAAGAAAAAACCAAATTTACCTTGAAATATTCAAACTCCAACCGTTAATATCTTTTAAACGGTTAGGTTTAGGAAAAAATCGTAATAGCACTTTTTTGAAGTGGATTCAATTTCCAATTAAATCTATAAAGCGAACTACATTTTTAAGTAGTTGGAAGCGAGTAATGAATCTTTCTATCCGATAATAAGAAAACAATAGATAACTGTACTTGGAGAAACTTTCTTAGAGGTGTCTACCAACCAACGTTTCAGAGTACCAGTACCGAAAGAGAAACATTCGTTTTTTTTTGACACACCTTAATGTATATACATATACAAATATGCATATTTAGTAATAGAAAATTCATTTGCACATCACGTACAAACTTTACATGTTCTAGATGGATTTTTATATAATATTCTTGCTTCATTTAAAATCTTTTAACTGTAGATCGTTTAGACAAAATATATAAATAGAGTTGCTATATATACTCAACTCATTAATTTTAAATAACATCATAATTTATTAAAATCTTGCACACAGATTGCAAACAAGGATATTAGAACAATTTTATATATGCATATGAAATTTCCAAAGAACTAATGTTAGGCCAAATAACTAATGCATGCAATAGTGTTGCCAGTTTATTAAATTTCCTATATACTAGTATATATATAGTACTCGTATGTACATATGTGCATAAGTTTAAAAATTTTTTGTGATGTACGATTTAGTTTGAAATATAAAAAAATTGATAAACTATTTATTTGAAATTAACAATAACTAATTAATTACAAAAAGCAAGCGTATATTAAACACCTTGTATTAAAACTTTTTCTTAGGGCTTTTCACTAATTTAATTTTCTTCTTTGAAATTCGTACGCGAGCAGCAACCACGCTTATTTAAATAGTTACTTATATGTACATATGTTTCATCATATGTTTTAAACATATCTACATAAATCGTTAACAGTAGGTAGTACGCATTTGAATGCGGATTGATCACGCATGCGTAATGAGTAAAACTCTTTGCTTGTTTTTGATATCTTCAGCTATTAACATGACATGTTAGTTTTCGAGCGCCTTTCGATTAGCAACATAATTATGAATATTTAGACAAAATACCGGAGATGTCACTGGACTACAACGGTTGTTGATGTTTCCCTAAACTTTTTTCAATTAAGCAATATATAAATTACGTTGACAACTATTGGAAAAAAGCGTTTAACTATAAACGTGAATGTCGAGATGAATAAATGTTATTTTCAAGCCGCGCTTGACCAATTTAAGTGTCTTTCTTATCTACATGAGTGATTAACTTTGCTGCCTAGTCACTGACAGATGTAGATTCGTATAGGCTTGTATGTACATACATACGGAACATATAGTAGGTACACTAGGTACTTGTACATCAAAAGGCAAGAGCCATTTATTAGAATTGTTTTCATATTTTTAAATTCAAAAGTATTATTTTATTTATGGCCTAACATGTGAAAAATACACACTGCACTACATTTTCCACAATTTGAAACAATGTTCGAAACAGATTAAGAATTCTGCGAAAGCTTCTTTTGAGATCGAAATGGCCCATTCACATACAACTTTCCTCGCTTTGCGTGACATTTCATACTTTAACAACGAAGCGTAGAAAGCAAAGGGTATGCCAGGTTGCTTGGCAAAGCGTAAAAAGATAAGAGCTGCTGCATTTCGCTTCGCTGTGAACGTACTCATACAAAAGCATATATCGAACTTTTCTGTCAAAACAAATGTCTGACGCAAAGCGCAACAAAAGTTCTATGTGAAGCAACCAAACATCTTATAGCACGCCTCAGTGGAAACCGAGAGTGGTCAATGGGTAATATTATCGGGTTTTGGTGCGTCAAAAATCTCTTCGTCAACGCCGAAGCCTGCTGTTGTAGGTTTGGGGAAGGTTTACACAATTGAAGAATGATTTTCTCAGGAATTTCTGATACCACTCGACAAATGCTTCTTTCTGAACGTTTTTTAATCCTACTGGGATCCAAAGTGCACACGAGACATACATACTTTTTAGCACAAGACGCCTCAATTTCACATTATATGACATGTTGGTCTTACTTATAGTTTTCGTGGTTAAGTATGTGTGGATTTTCCCAGGAAAGTCACTATATTAATTACTATTCATTTCAATATTTGATTATACCAATTTATGTAATTTATACTAGTTGCTTGTTTAGTTTGTCACTTTTTTACGAGCATACAATACATAGATATAAAAAATATTTATAATACAATAGTTTTTCACTACTTTCATATTGATGTATAGGTAATTCATAGGACCTTTACCAATCGCAAGGGCAATGAACTTCATCATTCGGGCTGGAATGCTTGCTCAAGTTGCTACTATGTGGATGAGAATTCAAAACAAATACCGAAGCGTGACAAACTTATATTGCCTTCGATAATTTCCGATTTCATTTACATAGTGGATGTGGCGACTGATCCACGCAAGCCCTCGATATACAAGACCATAGATGGTGATTTGCTTAAGCAACATAACGTAACTGCGCCGCATACAACGCATTGTCTGGCTGATGGTAATATTATGATTTCAACACTGGGCGATGCTGAGGGTTATGCCAAGGGCGATTTTATTCTCTTTGAAACAAATAATTTCAATTGTGTTGGCACGTGGACGAAGGGCAAGCAAGTGGCTTTATGCGGTTATGACTTTTGGTATCAACCATATTTTGATGTAATGGTATCGACGGAATGGGGAGCACCCAATAAGTTTAAACGGTAAGTTATGTCAGAACAATGGTATTCAAAAAGTCGATAGGCTATTTTTGACACAGAATATATCGATTAACAACTTTCTTTATTATAAAATATTTTAAAAGCGGTTGGCGTACAGAAGACCTCGATGATATGACACAATATGGCTGTCGATTAAATTTTTACAAATGGTCAACGCATACCCTATATCAAACCATTGATTTGGGTGAGGACGGTACAACACCATTAGAAGTTCGTTTTATGCACAATCCAAAACGTCCAGATGGATTTGTTGGCTGTTGCTTGAACGCAAATATATACTATTTCAAAAAGAAACCCGATTCCGATGAATTTGTAGCAAAAAAAGTTATTGACATACCTGGAAAGCGTATTTCAATTGATGGTGGCAAGCCTGAAACTTTGAATGGCATGGTTTCCGATATAGTGCTCTCTTTGGACGACAAATATCTCTATGTAAATTGTTGGCTGCACGGTGATCTGCGTCAATATGATGTTAGTGATCCAGAAAATCCACGGCTAACAGGTCAACTATTTTTAGGAGGTTATATTTGTGAAGACTGCAAGAATGTGGAAGTGCTTGAAGATAAGGAACTAACCGTTAGTCTTTTAAAACTGTTATAATTAAATAATCATATGGTTTCAAATCGTCTATTAATAATTGCTAGAAACGCCCTGCACCACGTTATATTAAAGGCCGCAGACTCGAGGGAGGACCGCAAATGATGCAACTGTCTTTGGATGGCAAACGTTTGTATGTTTCAACATCAATTTTCTCACAATGGGATAAACAGGTATGTGTCTAAAAATTCGGAATTTTTAAGAGCTACATCATTTACATAGCTTTTTTTTAAACAGTTCTATCCGAAGATGGTTGAAAAAGGCGGAACAATAGTTGAAATTGATATTGATGTCGTTAACGGTGGCTTAAAGTTGAATGAAAATTTCTTAGTTGACTTCGGTAATGAGCCATATGGGCCAGCATTACCCCATGATATGCGTTACCCAGGTGGTGATTGCACTTCCGATATTTGGTTGGCTAACGATGAAAAATGAGTTTGGTAAAATGTAGGAGTCGATGTTATCTTCAATTCGCTGTAAATCTCAGTAAAAAAAATTATGGAATCAGCGCATTGCAAACAATTACATTACATACATTGATCAATTTACAATAGCATAGCATGGAAGTCGGCTCTATATGTAAAGAATTGCTTTCTAACTGTGCGATTTGCGTTTTTGTAAACTTCAAACAAGACATTTCGTTCGAAATGCACTTAGGTAATGCAAAGTGTTAATGAATAAATTTTTGAGTGCAATTCTATGTGTCGTTTATTATGTTTACCATTGTTTTGATTAATCGGCGATTATTTGAGTGACTATAGGGGTTATAGTAAGTTAGACACTAATAATTCTCCACTCTCTATTTTAGTTAAAAAAAATCTCCTCAAAAAGGGAACTATTTTGAAGTGGCTCGAAACCAATTAAATTTTAGTCAAAGACACAAAGCGACGTAATAGGAATATAAATTCCAAACCTTTTCTGCCGAGTTGGCAAAAGACATGTGATCTTTCCTACTCTTTTCTTGCATTGTGATCTATTTGTAAACTATCCAATTGGAGTAGTACAATACAATATTTACAATATTTTCTTGAGATAGTTCATATAGTGCTTAAAATATGTGAATGAAAGTTTCTAGTGGACGTGGACAAGTCAAATTTTTTATGCTGTACATTACGACCAAAACCTACCTTAAATTACTTAAGAAATTTTCTTTTCAAATACGAGTAGGTTTACTGAAGCAAAATAAACGATTTTTAAGGCGGAAGATTAATGGCATGCTCGGTTGACTTTTAGTTTCAACAGTTGACTGAGTTAACAGTAGGCACAATAATAAATCTGAAAAACAAAACAAAATTAAAAAAAAAAATTATGTAATATTTTAAAAGTTAAAAGGCTTAACACCAACCTATCTAATTAAACATATCACATATTTTCCATTTAAATAAAAATGCTCACTAATTTAATTAGTTCTTATTTTTTATTTATTCAATTCTTTTTTTTTTTCATTTCATTTATCAAGTCTATTGCATAAATGTTTTTTCAAATTTCAATTATTTCTGCATTAATTTAATTATTATTCTTACATTTTATTTATTACAATACTAATAATAAATATATGATGCATAAGAAAAAATTTAGTAACAAATTTAGTCATAAAATACATTTTATGAAATAAATAGTTTGGAAAATATTTCATTTACAATAGAAATTAAATATATTTAAAGTATTTTTTATTGATGATATTTTTTTATCGTTTAACAACACTTACTGTTAGTATACGTAAACATTTTTTTAGACATATGCGCCTGAACATAGGCCTCAATCGTAAAAATATCTGTGGCAATTTATTAAAGTAGCTGAAGTCAACTTAAGTTAGTGATGGCAATTGGAGTTTTTTAATCAATTTAATGGATATCCGGCATTATATTTTATCTTTAATAATAGCTGAGTATCAGTTCATGGTTATGAAGTTCAAATAAGGCTGAAACGAAAGTTTGCACAGACTTTCAGTAGCATTTACAACAACCACTTTAACTTAACTTGACATAAGCTACTTTAACTAGAATGGCATGTATACATATCATACATACTTACATAGATACAAGTATGGGTGTTTTCAATAAATTTTTTGGTATTTATTTTTATACAATTATTAATTTTGTTTGCATTGTATATTAATATTTGCTCTTCAGCTTAATTTTTTGTGCTACTAAAAATTATTGAGTACACATAATTACTTACTAAGTATCTATTTTTAAAGAAAATACCTCTTCCCGTAAATTATATTTTAATTTTTCTCATTGTATTTATCGTTTATTTTGTATGCTTAAACATTCCAATCACTAACCACAATTTGTTGTTGTTAAGTTCAATATTACTACATGTGTATTAGCATTGTTGTGAGTTGTTGCCACTTCGTTTAAGATTTGCTTGTTTATATAAATCAATTATACAATTAAATATTACTGTGGTGATTTCTTTGCGAAACAACTCAGCAACTTTTACTAAATAATAAATAAATAATTATTAATTCAATGATTATTTAATATGCTTACAATTATAATTTTTTAAATTACCAATTTCTTAAACTTAGTTTTCGTAATTGAAAATATTTTTTTTGCTATAGTTTATATATTTTTATTGTTTTTTTTATTTTTGTTTTCTCTCATTAGGTTTGGTATTCCCTACATTAAATTATATATTTAATATATTATATAAATATATTATTTTCAAAAAAATGTTTCAACTAATTCCTTATACTGAGAATGTTTGTATGCGTGGACATATTACTTTAATTTATTTAAATTTCATTCAATTAATTGTATCATTAACTTATTCTTACTTCGTCTAAGGTACATTTTGATTTGCAAATTTTATTCAAAGTATTTATTAAAGTAATTCCAAGAGAAAACGCAAAAAGCATATGAAGATCACAGTAATCGAACTTAAAACTCAGCAAAGTGTTTCTAAGTAAATTTATGTTAAAAATTAATCTTACGTAACTAGCTAAATTTAATTTTTTTTAATGTTTTTGTAAATTTAGATTTGCAGGTTATTATTACAATTAATATATTTATTTATTATTAATAATTATAACTTTTTGCTTAATACAAATACACATCAAAAAACATTTTATTTCGCCAAAATTGTTGTATACTCTTTTAATATATATAAAATTTTATTACTTTTTAATAAACATAAGATTAAATTTACGAAATTGTTAAAATAAAAGAAATTTTTAAATAAAAAAAACTGTATTCCAAATCTTTTCTTAAAATGATGATGAAGTAATTATATTATCAAGGAAAATTGTTAAAATTTCAAAATTTAACCAAAATGTTGGAAACTATAATATTGAATTTGTTTTAACAATATAAACAAGTGAAAACCGACACCAAAAAATTCTTTCAACCACAATATTTATCAAAATCTTTCTAGTTTTAAACCTTTACTAAGATAGTGCTGTAAAAAAACTTGTATTTACAGAAATGTTCGTTTCTTCAAATACTTTTTGTTTTTTTTTAAATTTAATCTATATAAAATTTTTTTAAGCGATTTATAAAAATATTTTTTGAAAGCAAGTAAAGTTATTATAGTGAATATTAAAAAATAATAATAATTTTTTGAAAGCAGAAAAAATTTCAAAGGATTAAAAAATTATCTTCGCTCAAATATACATACGTATATGTATGTATATCAACTTTGCCAATATGTATATGTAAATTCACAATTTTGAATAGGTATATTTTTTATGAAATAAATGTGTATATAATAAGCGACCGTTCGTTTTTAATTTTTACAGAATATCACAAACATTAACGCAAAAGCTAAATAAATAAATCATTTTTGCGAGTAAATGTACAAATAGTAAATTTTAAGTCGTATATCGCTACATACATGCATAAGTTTCTTGGAAGGATATTCGTTCCGCTTTACAAATATAGGACGTTAAATTATTCAGTTTTTTCGTATTTAGTTTTTTTAATTTTTAGCACATGCTTACATTTAATAGATAATTACTTAGTGGTAGTAGTTATAGTACCTTCGTTTATCAGGTGAAATGCTTGTAAGAGCTTTCATGAAGCTTTCACCAATTTCAAATTTCTTGTAAGCACTTACAAACACTTGCTTGAGACTAACACTCAATATGCCGACTATGAAAATCACCTTACAAAACAGCTACTTGTCAGTAAAATAGCTTTAAATCTATACAAAAATGTAGTAAAATTTGTTAAAATTTCAAAAATACGAAGAAGAAATCACGCCAATGAAAGCTACGGAAGATCTGTAAAATCTCACCTTTGTGACGAATGTGATGACAAGCAATATTACAACTTGTAGGGTGATCCATAACGGCGCATTATTAATTATATACAATAAGACACATACACATAAAGTTAGTTAGGATCGTAAACACATACAATATACATATTATATGTAGAGTAGATATTTTACTGGTATATTTTAGTAATATTTAGTTATTTCACTTATTTAGAACTCGTTTAGTTTAACAGTTTTCTAAGTAACTTAGACACACACATTTTTGGAAGAATTTTCAATTCAATTTCGTTTTGTTAGTTTTTGTTTTCATTACATTAATTTATTATTTGCCTAAATGGAAGGATAACAGCTAATTCGATAAATTACTTCAATTTATTACCTAATTTATTATTGATTAATTTTGTATCTTTTTAGTCATTGGCAAGCGAAATGAGTACCACAAATTATAGAACGGTGAATTAGTATACCAAAAAGAGTTTCAAATAATGCTTTGAATATGCACAAATGTAATGCATTAGCTGATTATTAGTAGTATTTGTTTGGATTGATGCAAAACCTTCTAAAAATGTGAGTCCGCTTTGATTGTCCATTTCGTCTAAATACGAGTTGTAGTATTACAGTTGCCAACATTAGCTTCGTTAAGCGGTAAATTGTAAAAAAAAAATCAATTTTAATGGAATGCAGTTTTTTTTTCAAAACAACTGTCGCTGAATGACAAAAAGTTGGTGTATGGGTGTGTTGAATTTTGTATAGTGCAATCGCGATTTGAAAAAAACAGTAAGTATGAAAATATATGGATTTTAACTTAATTAATAAAAATAACTTAAAGCGTTTAATAAAAACAAACAAATAACTTCCGAGTAATAATGATCTAGATAATTAATAATAAATTGTTTGTTATTTTTATTATAACAAGTTGTTTGATTGTTTGATTAAATTGATTATTAAAGAGTTAAATTTTGTACATAAAAGAAAACTGTAAAGCTAACATCATTAGTTTGGGCAACTAAAATTTTAATTTCTTGGCACGAAAGCGAAAAATATCTACGAGTACGAGTATGTATTATATTCCATTAATTTCTGGCATGGCTCGTACAACTTTAATTAAAACTGAGGTTAGGCGGTGTCAAGTGTTATAACACACAATTATTTGAGATTTTTTAAATAAATCTCATAAAATTTTAGACTTTACTCAGTTTATTATTTTCAAATTTTGACGCCATTCCGGGTATTTCGCCATTTCACTTACAAATGAATAGTGGTTTTCAAAACTTGGAACCAACAATTTTTTTTTCCGCTTTATTTCAAAACGCTAATTGCTTGCTATACAGTTGGTAAATTGTAAATGAAAACTATATATCCCATTAAAAAAACAATAATATTCGCTTTATTTGCGTAGAAATAAACATTTCAACAAGTAATAAAGTCAATGCTTATTTATATTTTCTCTCTTTATAACATTTTACAAAGTAATCCATTGGCGTGTGTGTGTTTGTTTTCTGTAAATGTTTTGCTTATTTTATTACATTTTCTTCAGGTATTGCTTACAGCTTCGGTGGAATTTGGCTCCATATAAAGAAGTGAAAAATAAAATATGAATAAAAGTAATTCAATTTTAAAATTTACACAAATACACTTTAAGTTCTTGTATCTGTTTGTAAAATTTGTTTTAATATATTTTTAGTTCTTGGTGTTGATTACTTTTTTTATTTATTTTATTTTAGTTTTTACAATAAGAACACTCTATAAGCTGCATTTTACGTTCAAATTCATTTGTGTTCGTTATTTATTCTATTGGCGCTGGGCTATCGGTGCACGAAATTCATTTTTGTGTTTGGTTTTTGTTTTCAATATGTTTCGTTTGTGTAAGTACGTTTTTTGTATTTTTTTGTTTCTCTTTTTTTCATATATGTTTTTACTTATTTGTAGTACAATTTTTCAAGTGTTTACTGTGTTGAAATTATCCTTAGTACAGTTTCAGTTCTACAGATATAGTATAGATTGTGATATTTGTATTTGTTTCAACGGTTTTGTGTGTGTGTTTCCGTTTTTTGTTTTCGTATGTGTGTACTTAATTGAAATCTTAGTAGTAAATTGCCTTTGAAATTACATTTTCAATTGTCATTCATATGTTTCGGTGTTGGTTTAATTGACCGGAAATACGTAATAACAGTAAAGTAATAACAACTTTTGTTACGACACATATGTATTTACCACATTTACAGAATTATTTTTAATTTGGCAGATGTTCTTGGTATTTCAGTTATATGTATGTAGGTATTTAGCTGAGACTTATGCAATATAAATATATGTAGGTAATTCACATTGCAAGGAGAATATGACGAAACCGTACATGCCAGCAGGGAAATTTGTGTAGTTATTTTTTCTCAAAGAGACTTTTTAAATAAAAAATTCACATTTCGCAGTAAAAGTTTCGAAATAGCAAAATTGTTTGAAAATGGGAAATTATTAATTTCTACGTGAAAATTCAGCAACATATACAGATCACAGTATGCTCTCGATAACTGTGTATATAAAAATTCTTAATTATTTAGCTCGTATTACTTTTCAAAATAACTTTTTATGAACGTTGCTAATATAATTGCTTCAAATAAAATAACCATATGAATTTGTAAGCAAATTCAAAATTTTTAAACACATTTGACAATGATAATAGTATTATTATTTGTTACCTTTAACTATCGTATTAATTTGATAATTATTCGTTGACTTTGACAATCTAAGCAAATGGTTTTTGGAAATATTTTTGATGAACATACAAATAATATTTTGTGCTATATTCTTATCACGCATTATATAAATAGTCATAAGAGAAATTGAGACAAATTCAAAACATTTTTTGTTTCAATAAGCATATAGCTACCATAATTGGGTACAATAATTTTATTAATTATTAATTAGTAAAAACATACATACAATATAAAAATAATTTTTCCGAACTTCATTTTTGCTAGAATCCCAAATATAATAAAATAATAGACATAATAAAATGTAGTATTAAAGTCTTGAAAAGAAAAGTAGCATCGATTCAAAAAAGTAAGCGGCAACATTATAGCCCTCATGGTGTTATTTATGATTGTAATAGTTCAAATTACCGAATTCACACTGTACTTTAACTCAAATTATTGTCAAAATTACATATATGGCTATCAGAAAACCTAACCTTAAATTTATACGTGCTATCTTTGTCTTTCTGCTTGCCTAACCATAATAATTTTTAAAAAATTACACACAGTTTTAAATAAATAAAAAATATTAATAATGTACGAAAGAACACATGGATTGGTTCTTTAGTAATTAAAGATAAGCGGCAACGAGATTCAAAACACCACTGCTGGCAGGATCAATCACAATGGAAAGTACTTAAATTAGTTTAGAATTTTCGAACAATTTCTTAAATTTATTTAATATTTCTTTATTAAATAAAATTTACTAATACTATCGTTGTAATTATTATTATTTTGGTTTTTGTGTATCAATCTCTCTGCTTGCATGCTCCAGTCACTATCATGTAATTTTTAGTTAGCACGATTATTTTTTAACTTTTATTGTTTTGCATCCATTTTGACCATACAACAACTGGCAACGTCTTCATACTACTAAATGTACCATATGTATGTATGTATATAAACAACTGCATACTATTATTACTAAATAATAAAGTAATTCATTCTCGACGTTTTGGTATTACACTTTTTTACTAAATTTATTGAATTTCAATTTTAAACATGTTTAACTTTATTATTGCTTGACTTTGTTCAATCTTGCTTTGACATTGGACTGCTGACATATATTTAATTAACATAAAAATATTCCGAAAAATGGCACTTGTAGTTTAAAGATTATATTTTTATTAATAGTTATCCTGTTTTGTTTGAAGTACTCAGAAATTTTAAACTTTAAAGAGCTGATTTTATTGCATTAAATGCACTGACAGTTGTGACAATGAAAATGTTTGCCAGTTCACTTTTATACCTAATAATGAGAGCAATTTTTGAGCAAAAATGGTAAGATGAATTGGTATGATATGTCAACACCATTGTAGCTGACAACTGAAAGCTTGTTTTAATTTGAATAATTTGCTTTTTTTTCTAATTAGAAACGTATTTATTTCAAAATTTTACTCCTGCCAATTTAGCTGAATTTTTCATCATTGATTTTGACATATTGAAACACACGCATTATGGTAAAACATTTGTTAGAACGAAGGCTACTCAGTTAATTATTTCAATGAGCTCTCAATGATTTACCTTACTGATTAGGGCAACACATGAAACTTGTTAAACTTCAAAGGTAATTAGAAAATACTCAAACATTTATAGTGAAAAGAAAACTTGAACGCATCAACAATTTGTACGCCTGACAGTGTCAAATGTCAATTCTAGCAATGCTGTGCTTCACCTATTTTACATTTTTTAGTAACACAAACTAGTGTGGTATGTAATATGACTAATTGGAACATTAAATAGCTCCTTGAGATATTCTAAGGCTATTTTCAGTTTGTATACGTCTATGTTGTTACACTCCTTTTAGTATTTTTTCAATAATACTCTGTTTAATCAAACTATACAGCATATTCGCAATCTGAAGCATACGAACTGTTAATTACTTTATGTACATACTACACGCATACAAATACACCTGATTTTACGCCTTTTCATCGACTTTCTTTTCGCTAAAACGAATTTCCTTGTCTACAAACTGGAACTTCTGCTCGAAATTTTACGTCTTTTTATTTTTGTCTAACGGTTTACTCGTCTACAAAATAAAATACAGTAGATGAAATTATGTAAATAAGTTGTATGTGTCTGTGAACACGCTTACCTGTGGACTTTCGCTGGCATTACGTGTGCTCCTGCCATTATTGTTCTTGCTTTCTCAAAGATCTATCAGCGATATAACTTCTTGATTATTCAAGATGCTCTCAAAGTCACTCTCTGACCATCAGGGATCCGAGTGAAATACATGGAATGAGTTCACAATTGTACGGTTAGTCAGCAATCCCTTCATCCACATCTCGAAATTAATATAGCCGACATTGTGCGGATCAAATGAGCGAAAGGTACGTTCCAACTGAAAGAAAAAACCAAGAGATTTGTTATAATACACAAATAGAGCAGCATGATTTAGAAGAGTTTGTAGAAAAATTGTTATGAAAGCAAATTATGTCAAAAACAACATTCTTGAAATCACATACAATGGTTAACTCCATTGAATATACTGATGATAACTTAACCTTCTTATTTACATCTGAAGAAATCGTTTCGAAATTTCTTTAAACCCAAAACATTTATACCTTGGCAAGATACAGACAATATTCCACGATACGAAGTCCCGTCCAATATACTATGTGTAACTAGTCCGCAGTAAGTCTCAAAACAGAGAGATATCCTAACCATTCAACATACACTAGCGACGTTGAAGATAAAAATCAGACCTAGAATGCTGTAAGGCAAACGGACTTTCTTCAATGGAAACCTACAATATACTCCAAATAAGAGCAAAAGTTTATTAAACATAATGATATCTCTTCTGATTTCGGTTTGCCGCTATTGTAATGATATCTTCTCTCTTCTAATGGTATCAGACTAAAAAGTCCAGTGCAAAAAGGTGCTAAAACTCTCGGATCTGCATCCCTTGACATCGTTCATAAAAGCTCTACAGTGAAACCTAGGATGAGGAAGCAGACCTACCGAAAACATATTTCCATAGCTGTCAGACTATTTTTAAATATCAAAATTTTGCCTTCAACCCATAAGTACCTACTTTAGTTGTCTATTATTCTTGCAGTAATTAAATAAAACTACTAATTCCATTATTTTTATGATATCCCATTACATTACATTACTTTATATTAATACGTTGCACTCTCGCTTAATTATACCTGCTCTTTGGCTTTTCGGTCTTCCTCCGGCTGATGCGGCCGTCGACCCATTAGCTCGTGTATTGAATGAAATAAATCACTCATTTCGCCGCGTGTTATCCGGCCATCGCCATTTACATCGTACAATTTGAAAGTCCATTTGACTTTGTCGTACACAGTACCTCGCAAGAGTGTTGAAAGCATATTTAAAAATTCCTGTGACAAACCAGACAAAAAAATTGATTATCATTAGAAATATTTGTAATTACCTATATATAATGGAAAAGTAAATACTAATAATTAATTTAGTTACCCGAAAGTTGACGGAACCAGCGCTGTTTATATCGAAAGTCCTGAACACATGGTGAGCGTACAAACTGGAATCTAAATAAAAGACACATGTTAACGATAGGCAGAAATTCATACACATGTATATGTATAAGAATATAAAATTTATATGTTATGCCATAAATTACATAAGTAAAAATCATTACAGTTTAATCAATAGAACTTAATACAGTTAGGTAATATTATGGTTTTTATTTTACTGCTACTTACTGCCATGTGGAAAGAATTTGGCATAAATCTCCTTGAAACATTCTTCTTGGACAACACCTTCGGGACATTCCTGCAAAAACAAGGGGGTGTAAGAGAAAATGTTAAAACAAAATTCAGCATTTGGAACAGCTTTTGTGGCGTTCACATTACTCAAGAATCAGGCAATAAAGTTAACGTAAATGGTTTATATGTTCATACCTTTAAAAATAAAATATTAAAAAATGTAGCTTCATATAAAATCGCAATCAATTTTTTAAATAATTGCATATGTATAGTAAGTAAATGGATAAATATTTGGCATTGGTCTTGAAGTTCGAAAATAGTCTTATGACGTTAATATCAAATTCAATTTAAGTACATAAGAACAATCATTTTTTTAAAACATTCTCTGTTTACCGAAGGTTCATTGCCATTCGATTTTCGAAAAAAAAGTACTAATGATGTCTTCGTCACAATATCCACACAACCGGAAAGTCCTTGAAGATGCGATAAATTCCTCTTTAGAGCCTTTACGCCCAGCATTGTCTTCTAAATGGTTCAAAATCCACCTGTGATAATCACTGAATATACAGGACAGTAGTACTAAAGAGCGTCAAAATGTAAGGGTGTCAAAACAGTCGTGTCCGCACATACACCGTATCATTTCTACACATACTCAATCAAAAGCTGTCGAGTCAATATTGCTATACGGAGTAAGCTTTATGTTGTTACCAGAAACGATAAGAGCATATACACATATATACATATTTTGCGGGTTTCGAAACAAATATTGTACTTTATAGATCGCTAACTTTATAATGTAAATTCTAATGTATCGAACTTGTAAGAACTGATCTGACGTTGAAAAAACATATTTTGATATATTTTTTATAATAGCGACTCTAAAGAGATGTATAACACTTGTGACGAAATCAAAATAATTAAAATAATTGAAATTCTTCGGCTGACTAGATCATTACGAACAGTCTCAAATGTTTCAGCTATGGATACAGTACACGTTCTAAGACACCATAAAATACAACAAAGTGGTTTATAATTTCAATACTTATATTATAAATACTTACATTTCATTATTCATTGCTCATAGTTTACTCACCGTTTTAAATCCTCGATACATAATTCGTATTTCCTGTTTTGAGAATTTTGTCTCACGATACAAATCTTCGATTGTTACATTAATCGGCTTAGGCACTCGAGTGTGTTCCAATTCGAAGACAACCTCCTCGATGGGGCTTTCCGGTGGCGAAGTCATTTTGAATTATCGTCTGTATCTTGTATATTTCCTTTAAGTCTTCGTATTATTTTGATGTATTTTGTGAATTTCTTTTACACTTTCTTTTAGTTAAAATACGAAATGTTCAAACGAATTATATACTATATAATATTGAGTAGCTAGTAGAGGCGATAAACAATGATGGTGTTTGTGATGGCTTTTGTAGAGGATTACAACAAAAATGCGCCTGTTTTTGTTCTTTTTACTTAAAATCGTTTAATTCTTCGCCAGCTATGACGTTGGCAAATTTTTTAGATGGTTGTACTTTGCAACCAAGTCAAAATGAGCAGCGAATAGGTTTGTGTAGCAAAGGGAAAATTAAGAGGGAAACGCTTTGGCTTCTTTGTAATCGCATAGTCACGCGTGATAATTCCATTTAATTCAATTCCACTATTTTATCTTTTTCATGTGCATATTCCTATTTCTGTTATAATAGTTGTTGGTGTTACAATTCTCATGCATTTATTGGCTACTGTTGGTTTGTCTTTGTTTCATTGGTTAATTAGTTCGTTAGTTCGCTTGGTTTTGGCTTTAGCTTTGCTTGGTTTGCTACCGCAGCTTTGATGCCATTCTTTGTCTAACTGTAACGGTAACAATTTGAATAAGAGTTGGCTGGACAATTATTGTTGCACGCTTGTTCCTTTTCTAGCTCGTTTTGTTATTGTTGTGTGGTATAAGTAAAGAGTTTTATTTTTTTGTTTAGTTTTGCTGTTAACTTATTGTTTCGGCGGTTTGCGGCGGTTTTGAATTTTGTATTATATATTACTAACGATTTGTTATTGTTTTTGTTGTATTTATAAACTTTGTAGTAGAAGTTTTTTCCTTTATTGTTTCCTTCATGTAATTAAAACATATTTAAAGGACAACAGCCCATACCAGTGGTCGCAGTGTTGCTGTATTCTACTATTACGAGTGGTATTTGTGACCTACACAACTCTGTGTAGTTTCTCTGCCAGCAACTGTAAATGTTTTGAAAAAAAATAAAACTTGGTTATATTGTAGTAATAATAAACTTGAAAAAAATATTTTGAGTCCGATATTTTTTTAATAATTATATAATATAATAATTATTACAAAGTGGAAGTTTGATATTTAAAGTTAACTTTAAATTCAAGTAACTATCGAAACATTCTTCTGGGACTTCATAATACAAGCAAGAAAGAAGATAGGGAATTCCATCAATGACTGAAGTGAGATGAATGAAAAACATAATATATTCAAATCACTCAATGGGTTCAATATACGTCTGTGATACCATAACTTCTTTAGAGCTACAAATAAGCTTTAAATAACAAAGTTCTGAGCTCAAATAACAAAGTTCTGAGGCCTAAATACAATATTAAGGCGTAGTTTATCTAATACGGGAACAATTTAAATTCCGTGCACGCCCCGTCCTAATATTAGATTAAAGTTATATCACATAAAGAAAGCAGGAGTAGTTCAGTGGTAACTTTTTTTAAAGGCAACTCCGCTACTATCTGTGATAATTTGATGCAATTTACAATTTTTAATTATTCTCGTCATTCTTATATTTTCTAAGTGTGTTAATAGAGCGCTTCACACAATGCCTCACTTTTGTACTTTTATGAAAGGGTTGCACATTACATTTCCTCTGTCATTACTGAAAGCTTTTACAATACATTACACGTTCACTTACCTTGACCTATCATAGACATACTATAACAACATTTTCTCACAAAGTCGATTTATTATAATATCTGAGAAGTGCATACATTGTACATACATATCTGCGTATTCATGTATAAATATGCAAATACAAGTTTAGTTTTCGACTTGGACAAAGAAAGATTCATAATAATTTCACTTCCTTTATGGCGTGTAGATTTTCAGCGAGAAAATAATGAGATATATGAGTATCTAGTACAAATTCCAAAAAAAAAATGTCGAATGTCATACCATAAAAGTGTTGCGAAAAAATTACAACAACAAAACACATACATACTCATTTAGCAGCAGTGACATTTATCGCAGTGTCTAAAAGTGTTTCAAAGTATTTATGTGCTTATGTATGATAAATGCAAGTACGTTAGTATATATCATGGCAGAATAAGTGAATTTTCAACGTGTGAATGAAGCGTAAAATCACAAATAGTTTAAGGCACGCAAGGCATTACATGTGAGACCCCACTTTAGCTTCAATGAAAAGCTAGCGTCTAACAAAGAGCCTGCCATATTCGCTGACTGACATGCAATGCATGAAAGGAGTGCCGCCCCGACTTTCACCAACTGCAAACAAACAGAATAGCACACACATGCAAAATAATCAACACAGCCACGCGTATACACTACTGACATGCGAAATAAGAATGTCAAGTACAATTGTTATGCACCAAAAACCAAAAACCAAAAAACAAAAAATGAAACATGAAACATGAGAAATAGTTGGCCAAAATCAGTTACAAACCTACTTATCTGAGTAAAGTAAATATCCACAAGCGAAGCAGACGTCACGCAGTATAAGTGCACCCTAAGCGTCACAACGCACCCAACTGAGCATTATTGTGGCCATCGAAGCGATCACAAAACGCGTCTCTAAATAACTACAAATGACACAATAACGCACACAAAACAAATTGCCAATTGTAATTTCCTTTGTTTTTACCAAATTTTTCTAAGCTTTTAAGCCAAAAGCAGCTTCATCGTTTGCCACATCGAGTTCATAAGCCTTAAACATCCTTGCCAAAATTGTAGGCAACAAGCATTACAAACACAAACTCCTACAAAGACACAAAGATTAAAAAAGAAATAATAAACTCAATGAGCTGATTTTACATAAATCAACGCCAATAATTGCCATTTCTTTTTGTCAAATTAAATATCAGCAAATGACCTCAAATTTGTGGCGATAAAAAGGAATTTGGCAAAATTACAAGAAATGACTGAACGCCAAAGAAAATGACGAGCGAAGTCGTAATGGGCGGCCAAAAGCATATTCGCCTCGCACGCGAGACAATAGCAATAAAATAAGTAAGGTGGCGTAAATTCGAGCGAAGGCAAAATTTGCGACGCTACCCGGCGCACATTACAGTCAGGCTGAAAAGTATTATGAGTTTGCTTGAACTAAGTCTTTCACAAAACCCTAATATTTTATACGAAAACACTTTTCAATACCGAATAAAACATTTCAAATCGTGCCAGAAAGCATAGGCACATAGTTAAAAGTTAATACAAAAAATTCCTAAAATATCATCAAAGTGTTATACAATTAAAAGCATTAAATTATTTCCAGTATTTTAGTTAAGTACTCGAAAAACCTTAGTTCATTGCTGACATTGCTCGATCGCATTAACGACATGAATATCATTGCAGCCAAACCGTGCTCGTGGTCTGCCACTCTATTGTGAAACGTATTTAAAACGTTATTCTATTTCTACTTCTACTAGTACGTATGTTATGTACTCGCATGTTTTTTTTATTATTGTTTACAGCCGAGTTGAGCCGTCGGCAAACGCGTTACTATACATTTGTTCTGTAAGTGGGAAAGCGTCGTAAATTATTTGATGGCGGAAATAAATTAAACAAAGCAATAAATTTTCGCAAAAACCCCAAAGAATGAAACTAGCTAACAACTAGAAAAAAACAAAGCCTGACAACAAACAAAGTTATTATATTTAGAAATTGCTGTAAAATCATTCAGTTGTGCCTACTCTTAATTTCAGCACAATCGCTTCTTTAAACAGTGGTTTAAGCTTAGACTATCAATTCGGTGTATTATAGATATGTCGTAACCGTAAATGTTTATAGAGAAATTTTAAAATGCTCTATATAATGTTACATAAGTAGTACATATGCATATCGATCTCTTGGTCAAGTGTGTTTCAAGCCAACTTGACAGATTTCTTAGAAACCTTTTTATGACACGTAGGCTTAAAATTCTGTCGTTGAACGGTAGCGAAAACGGATAGTTGGAATAGCTTCCTTATCAATCGGACCACTGGACACCTAGGGTAATTTTCTAGTCATATAAATGCTTGTTGAGCTCATTATATTCTAAGATAAATTTTCTAGAACAATTCTTAGAGAGAGAGTTAGTTCCTCTCATCCCGTTGTTAAAGAAATTGTTGATGCGAATATTTTGAGCAAAGCTTATTTATCGATGTTAGTTGTAATTTTAAAAAACGCGCTGAATAACAGCCGAACTTCCAGTCTCTGATTAATTTTATATCGAAATTTTTAGGAATACTCTGCGTCTCATTTTGTAGCGAAACTATTGATCCGCCATGGTTGCAACAATATCCCACCTTGGAGCGAGCGTTTCAGCTTAACCAAAACTTACCTAATATTTTATTACTGCAGTTCCCTCATGTTTCACACAAATTAATCATGTTGTTTATAGATTAAGCGTTCTTGGTGATCATAAAATTATCTATATATATATAACTTATTAAAATATTAGAGTGGAAGATACTGAATATTTTAAAGAAAAATTTATAAATTAATAATGTAAAAATATATCTCATTATTATAATAAGTAATCAAGAGTAATAGAAACTAATTTTTATACAGTTTTGTCTTGTTACTTGTTCAGAGGGCGTTTGACAGAAAAAACATTACTTCGTGGCATTATAAACGAAAAGAGAGGAGGAAAAGAGTTTACAATAATTATGAAAGCTTAACAGTTTGTTTGGTTCGTGAATTGGCGTGTCGCAATCTTGTCTATATCATCCATGCCTAGAAATGTCATAATTATTAAACTTAAATGGCATTCGCCCTTGAAAATTCAGCCGCCCAAGCGGCCTGCCATGCTTAATGCGCTCCTGCTGTGCATGAAAATATACCATTACTCTTTTACGCAGTCACCTACACACATAGTCTTGTATGGCGGCTTATTAAGCACTCAACCAATTTTTCAAACAACAAAAAAAAAACAGTAAAAACCGAAAGACAAAAACAAACTACTCGTACGATTTCGACAATATTTTCTACTCAAAAGTTACTTGTTTTCTATTTTCACACACTTTCTGTTTTATTTGCAAAGCGTATCCTTGTAGCTTTTTCAGTAAGCACTTAAGCTTTGATAGCATCATATATGACTTTCTGTGATTTTTTTTTTTTTTTGGCAGTTCGAAGTTTTGAAGCGCGCTCTCGCGCACACAAAAACCCACAAACTTGTGTAATATATTTAGTTAAATTATTGGCTGAGTATGCAAAATGTATACAGTTATTTTAGTTTAACCAGACGGTGGGGCGACGGCACTCTCCTCTTCGGCAATGCCAAACTTTTACTTTCGCTGATGTTTGAATGTGATTTGGGTTAGAATTCTGTTTTGCTGCGGTCGCTTAGCTATTTACCTACTCACACGGTTGGGTTGGCTAGAACTGGACTTCATTTTCATTTGAGCTGCGTGGCATTGGGCTGGTGAATGGTTGTTGTGTTGGCGTGTTCGGGCTAATTTTACACAGACTGTGTATGCTTGTGGTTTTGGTGGTTTTGTTGTTTTCGTTTTTGTTGTCCACTCATTAAGTTGCTATTTTTGTTAGTTAACTACATGGTAATCATGTTGGCATATACTACGTGTGTATGTATGTCTACATGTATATCTATATTTAGTACTTGAAACATTTCGTGCTTTCGAATTACGGGCGACCGGAAACGCGGTTGTAAAAAGAATGCCAGCAATGGTAATGAAACGGAAATGATAAGCGTCCGTCAGGTTTACTGCTATTGAAACTACTTTGCAAACAATTTTTTCAACAATTTACCGAATCAAGCGTATGAAAATAAATGCAACACAGTATTTTTAGACATTATTATTTGCAACCTATTCAAAATAGACGAATAATTTTAACGATGTTTATGAGATTTTTTCAAACTTTCGCTCAATTAAAGCTTGTAGCTTCTTAAGCGTCTCATTTGTAGGCGAATACAACGATATATACCACTTCAAAAAGAAAAATCTCAAATAAATTACCTTTACAGTTCAGTTAACCATTGGAG